TCGTCACACCTTGTCGTCCGTCGACTTAGGCGTAGGTACCTATAGTGTACATATACTGTATACCACCCATGACCCATTCAAAGCRTTTCCTGTTTCTATCTTACCATGGTGCTGGTATAGGCCATCACGTCGGGATTTTTCTACAGAACACACAACATACACGCAGGTACTTACTACTTACTTATACATAATATGTCATATATTATAAATATTATATATTTATGTACATAGGTAGTAGGTACCTATACAAATAATTTATGTATTAGTTAAGTATAATAATATTATATTGTGCAGGCGGTCTGCGTTGTGACAACAAAATCTGGTTCTTCACAGATCTTTATAGAACTTTCCCTTCGTACGAACATTTTTTAAAACTCTATCGCAAGTTATTATATCTCCTAATTTATTCCATATACCTAGCTATTATAGAGCTGCTTGATGTAATATCGTCGCGAAAGCGTTCCTTTTACAAAACAAATACAGTATCACACATCCTACCGAATTTCATTAGTGTAGTTATTTTTATTGGGTACTCGCGCGCATTTGTTTGCCTGCATGAGTGTGTTCCAATTGATTTAGGCATTTTTCCTTCCCGTAAGATGAGGAGATGAGGTCTATTCTTTCCGTAGTCCGTAGGTACGTACTTAGCCGTTCTAAATTCTAACCCATATTATAATTATTTGTATATACTTATTATATGGTACTTATACGAACATGTTGTTATATAGTCAGCTGTCGGCGTGCGATTATATCGACACCTTCGTCTTCGCCGCCTCACACGAATGCCACCTCCGCACACGGTATTCAAATTATTGARYTGCGCGCACGCACACCCACCCATCCACCCACACACTCTCACACACACACAGTATATACACAAAATATGTATGTAAAGCATCATTTCAACGTCCGGTGAGGGCTTTGTGAGCCCATGTGACCATGACGATACATGGAACACGAGCCGCGCAATTCCATTACGAGACAMGCATATAGACGATGGACCCCGATTCTAACTATACGATGACTTACACGTATATACACACATCCGGAGAGAAATTTTACAGTTTTACACAATGAMAATRACGATAAAAAAATAAAAATAATAATATTGTTATTATTACTATTGCCCCGTTCATCGTCGCGTTTTGATTTCAAAATAGTCGACAATGGTTTTTTAATAGCGTCGTTTTTAAACCGACCGATAAGCCATTGGCGAATATCAACTGCATGGAACGAAATGTAAAAAATAAACACCCAAAATACAACACGGTGTTGTTCACCCACACTCACACACACTACATATACATATACACAAACGCGTAAAATATACACACACTTCTACATTCTATGGATTACGTGAGTGTATATATATGTATATTATAATATAATAATAGGTACCTACTATATATTATAAATATATATACGCACACACTACAATACCATTACGAATTCATCATCGACTATTCAACTGTTCGGCGTTAAACTATATTATGTGTATTATAATAGGCATACATATATAAAACACTCGCATTGTGCGTAGAGTGAACAATTTATAACTACAGCACGACAATATATTATATATTATATATATTATTACCTATACATACGCCTAAAAAGTTTGTTGTATTTTTTTCGCGGTGGGCGTATTGTGTGAGTGTAAATGCAGTGCATAATATTGGCCAACTCTCGTCTTATATATAGGCATCAGTTTTATTATTATTCGTTTTAAATATTCGAGCGCGAGAGTTTCTCCCGTGGCCCTAACCTGTACGAAGTGCGTGGGCCGTATAACCTGAATGGCGAGCCCACTACACGTAGGTACAGTTTACACACACACACACATATCCTTGGTTCGTATAACACAAAAAACCTTCGTTCAAGTTTTTTTTTTCACCATCATCATCTCCAGGTCTATCTCTTGTGGAGCGCCGCATAATCGCGCCTCCGCTTAACGGTATACCTATGTATATATTATACTTGCGCCGCGTCTGTCACTCATCTGGTGGAGGCGCGTCGTGTTCTCATTCATTATATATATATATATACAACACACAATATATACTGTATTATATAGTATAATTAATTGAGTTCAGCAGCTTCGTCCCGCTACTGTATGGTCGACCGATACTGCAGTTTTTGCGATTGACGTACATGTCTTTATATATTAGACATATTATTATATTATTATTAATATCTATTATGTAATATATTACACTAGAATTTTTGTACARGCGTTAGTGGACACGATAACGGTGTGCGACAGAATTCCTAAATTACAATTTATATAGCATTATTATATAGTATTTCACTAGTGAAATATATTATWTTATTATGTATAATATTATTCTATATCCAAGACTAATATACCCTACTTATAACACCGAAAGATTTTTGAATAAAGTGCCGCTGCCGTAAGTTTGGCTATAAATTTATGTTTTATTGGTATTTTGTGAYTGAATATTATAGGTAGTATGAATGAGGTTCGAATCAAAAACTATTATATAGGTAGTTAYAGGTTGTTTGAAYACACTTTTTTAATATAGTAAGTTAATATTATCATTGGTTTTATAYTAAATAATTTATGTATACATTTGAGTATATAGTATATAGTATATATATATCAAAATAAGTACAGCTTGAAAATACCTTTTGGATACGAGACTAGCTATCAATAATCCGCACCTATAGCAATTTCTGCGTGATTTATTACCTCTATCAGAATTAATAATGATAAAAAAGAAGGGTCCAATATATTATGCTTAATCGCATCGGACTCTCGTCCAAATGTCGCATGGACCGGGTGGGTTGGAACTTGGAGGAGAAACTCAGAGGTTCGTCCTACGGACGGTCCGTAAAGCGAAAACGTGAAGGCGTGTGATTTATTTGACATGCATTCAGCAAACATTTTATTACAGCCGAGTGTAAGAGCACGGGTATACGAGGTATTCTTTAATGTATGTAGTATTAAATTTAAATCGTAGATAGGTGGATTATAAAAGTAATGATAAAAAAATTTATCATATGTGGAAATTGAAATTGATTGTTGCGCCATTTATTTAATTGTATTTGTCTAACTATTCAAGACATATTATCATATCCAATATTATATTTAATATATTAATTATTATTACGTTTACCAAAAATTGCCGTATTAATACAATATATTATATAAAAACCAAGTTTAAAATCRTCATCCACGATTATAGGAGCTTAAAAAAATGCGAAAACATGTAAATTTATATGTATAAAAATGGATTTCTGTCTGTTTGTTTGTCCTTTATGCATTCCTAAACGRCTGAACTGATTGCTACGAAATTTGGTGCAGAGATATATTAGACCTATGGGTGGAAGATAGGCTAAGTAAAAAGTGATAGTCCCAACCCCGGGAGATGCTCAAACAGACATATCGATATTTACGATGGACATTTTTGTTTGTTTATTAATGGTTACTATTAGTGATAATTACTTATTATTATTATTATGGTTGATTATTATTATTATAACATAAATCTCTGAATTATTTTTAACTGTGCACKTCATAGGCCATAAAAAATGATACCTCCCAAAACAAGATCGATTGGTTATTGTACGCCTTAAGCACGAAATAAAATGGCAATATATAAGCTTCATCARAAACAATCGAGCAAAGAGATTATGAATGATAATTAGGCTTGTCACTTTTTAACTTAGCCTATCTTCTACCCATAGGTCTTCGTCTAATATATCTCTGCGCCAAATTTCGTTACAATTGGTCCAGCCAGTGGCGTGCTGAACAGCTATTTTTTGAGGCAACTGCCTCAGAGAAAATACGGGTGGGTGGGTTGTGCAACTGGCCACCTGGGCACTAGTTTGATCGTACATTTTAAATATCATATAAATGTATACAATTTTTTATTAAGTGAAAAACCTGATGGTTATAGGGTGGGTGTCAAATTGTATAGTTTGCCTCAAATCTGAAAAATGTTCTGCACGCCACTGGGTCCAGCTGTTTATGAATGTATAAAGGATGACAAACACATTTATCTATATATCTATYTAATTATATCTATAAAAATGGATTTCTGTTTGTTCATCCTTAATGTATTCCAATTCCAATTGGACCGATTACGACGAAATTTGGTATAATTATAATTATAGTATATTCAATCAAGCGTGGTTATTGGAATATATTGTAGAGCAGTACTATAGCAGTAGAGCATTCAAATTTAAGAATGAGGCACCATGGCATGTGCTGTGTTGGCTGAAAAGTAAAATTGCTAGAATTAGCAAATCCTACATACCATTTTAATTGCTGGACCGAATTGCAACAAAATTAATTGGTATAGAGATTTATTAGACCTATTGGCAGAATATAAACTAGATTAAAAAGCACCGCTACCGACTTTTCTCGATAAAACGAATAAATTTACATAATGATAAACTGAATTGAATATCGTTGTAAGATTATTACTTAGTATATTTAAACCGTTATCTATCTATATGTATAAAAATATACTGCTAGCATAATCACAAAAAAGGATTTAACACACAGTTTAAGACATATAAGTAGTAGGATTTTTAACGAGGTACGACGTACGAAGCGCTGCACGAGTTCAGTTAATATAAAATACATATTACATATTATTATAAATGATAACAATWTCATACTGCATTATTTTATCGATTATTTCATAAGTAATTCCATTCCTATCATGTGGCGTTGTGCTCTTTATAGTCTTTATAAAAACCACCAGCAATCACTTGCAGATAGGTACTTTTTATTCTCAAAACTATATGAGTATACATTCCACCTTTTCGTTCGTTTTATAATCTATCGTTAAAATCTTTTTTGTTATGATGTATGAAAAGTATTTGTTTTTGATGTCGAAAGCGTTTGGACTACAGCGATATTTTGTATTATATTATTATAATATTTTGTTTTGTATTCTGGTTATTACTATAAGTATTATATTATATAAAGATAGGTATACACTATATACGGTATATATATCGGTACTTACGTGATTATCGAAGATCACGTAAACCGTATAGGCAAATCTGAATAAACTTTTGGAGTAATGGCGTCGAGAATAGTAGAACCCATTTCGTTTAATTGTGCACAGTCTTATCAATTGGTAGCTAATGGTTAAAGAAAATTTTAAAATAAATCACTGCAGCACGCGCGCGATGTTTTTATTTGTGAAAAAGAAATAATTTTTCCACCGTGAAGTTAAAGTTACCTCAATACCGCACGCGACCAGCGATCGTACAGAACTGACTGCAGCCGCCGTTTTTTAGCACACACGCGGTGGCGGCGCGCACCGGATAAAAAACATGATATATAATATACATATATTATGTATATAAATACACACACGTATACACTGGGTGGGGCCTCTACTAACCGCCACCGCTGAAGGACCGGTCAACCTACGGGGACAAACGAGGCTATATTGAGCCCCGCACATTGTATGGATAATGAACGAGATACACACACACACACGACACACAGACACACATACACAATATAAGATATAATAAACTATATTTTATGTTTGTATATATGTAGGTACAATATATACTTTTGTGCAGAATTCTATATTTGCTCAGTAGCAGACAATGAATTCAATAAATAATTCATTTTTCGAATAYTTCGCCATCGTCGAGGTTTTTTTTTACTGTTCAAGTGACCGACCTCCCCGAGTGAAATCTACCATCTACGGGTTACATTAATGATTCATTATAAATTAATTATAATTTAAGGAAACCGTCGGATTGTTCACGAACGTTATTCACTGCAATATAACTTTATATAGGTAGATACCTATCTATAAATAATCTTTATTTAGAAAATAAACTACATTAAATAATATTTGACATACAACATAACTACGGACACTGGACACCCAATATGTAATCATATACTTAGGATTTGTATTTTCTATACGTATTCAATTTTAACATTTAACTTTTAGTAGATTACATTGTCAAAGTTCGAATATTGATAGATAGTAAGAAAAAATGATAAATTGAGACATGAATATTTTGTCAAAAGTCTAAATTCAGTAAATTCAGACGCAATAAAAAAATATTGTGGATTTATACTCAACTTTTTTTTAATTTCCATTAATAACAACCAATGGGAAACCTTATATTAAATTTTCAAATATTTTTATCGAGCAAACAATTTTTTTTTCACAATTACCTAATAGCTAGGTAAACAATATGTATCAATGGCTTGACCCAATAAGAATATATGTTAAAAGTTACAATCACGCCTGATCATGAGACTTATTCTGTTGAAAGAAGCCACCCAACGATGACACCTTCTGTTAGGTTGATACCTAACTAATTTAATTTAATAGATCAACTTAATGTACCTAATAGTATTGTCAATAATAMAAATTTAAAAAAAACTAACACAAAATCGAAATTTTCTAATGTCTATAAATAGCTCAAAAATATCACATACATTTTAGAATCTGAGTAGAGTGATGAATGTATTTTAAATGATGTTTTGAGCTATTTACTGTCATGAGACATTTTTTTTTCAATTTGTAATTATAAATTATTTGTCACTTGATCAAAAACTTGAACATTTAATATAAGATTCCATGTAATTACATGTTGTTATGCTGTTTAATGTTCAATTATTATTAATTTTTTTTTAATTATTAAATTTGATTATTYATACGAATATTGAAATATGCTAGAACAACACACTGTCTCCGATCGTCATTTTTCGTAGGTAGGTATACAATTATTATTTACCATTGAATTCAAATTTAACACATTCATTACAATGAATTGAGTATGACACTCAGACAACTACTGTACAACAGAGCAGTACCCACTTATTCACCTCTTTATTTATGTTTAATTTTAATTAGGTAAAATAAATTTAATATTTGATTTGTGATTTGTGTTATAAGCATTTTCAGAAGTAAACGCTCAAAGAAAAATGGAATGGATGTTACAATAACATCATTATTGACACAAATGGATACAGATGACGGACAAAAATTAAAAAAAAAAAAACATGAAAGTAGTTCTGCTGTATAATAGTAGCTAGGCGTCTGGTGTACCCAGATGCCAGGGCTCCCATAATGGGAGCTGCTGGACCTGGAATACAGGGGCCCAGTTATTTTAGGAGCACRTCGAAATAATACCTAGTACAAGTGCTTAATATTGTATGTGGGGGCCTAGGTGTACCTACCACTGAATAGTAGGTTAGGTATAAACTATGTAATCTYAGATTAATAATTATTATTTATTATATATGAAAATCGATTTTAAGCGACATTAGCCTATATGTTTTTAATTTTCTAAGGATAATGCTTATTATACGAGTATAATATGTTGCTGTTAGTAATATGGTAAGTATTGTGGTTCAAATAGTTTTTGCAAAAAACAAACTGCATYATATATAAAATAATATATAATATATCATTAAAATAACATAATATACTGAAAATTGGGTATTAGATAGTAAGTCATCGATTTTTGATATTTTGTTGTATATCAAAAATTAGATATCAGTGTCGTAATTAGAGAATCAAAGACCCAGATGCAAACAAATGCATATGAGCCCCTCTTTCTTGAAATTAAAACAAAACATCTAGGTATCCTCTAAGGGTCTTTTGCTCTGGCGGCCCCAGTGCTGTGCACCGCCTGCACTTATGATTACTTACGGCACTGCTAACCATAGATATTTGCAATTTTTACCAAATATATTTTTTACTAGTTTTATTCCTATAAGACTATAATAAATGTAAGTAAATAACTTTTGTAGAATCAAAAAATTTAAAAATAAAAGGTCAAAAGTGGTTAAGTGGTTTTAATAGAAGTTGACAAAATCCATCRAAATCTCATATTATATTGAAAATTTAAAACAATAATTAACCAAGTAGGTAGTTCATAAATCAAAAACTCTAAAAAAGTAAATAAACAAAGTTTTTTTTGKATATTTAAAATTAGGTGCTTTATAGTTCAAATTTTAACGAAATGAAATTTTTAAATGAAGTAACAATATAAGTTATTTTGTTGTAATTTAAAAATATGATTTGTTAGCCTATTTTTAAATTAAATTATTATATTTTATACACAGCACACACACTACACACAATGAAGTTTTAAAGTGCAATGTTTTTGGCAGAAATTAATTCAACCTATGTAATACTTAAAATAGTTAAATAAACTATTTTTATAGCAATAATTTCATAAAATATAATTAGTAATAAAGGCTCAGAATCGTTCTGTATATAATTATTTTCATTTAGTAATTAAATACTTTTTTTTTTTTTTAATGTTAAAATAGAATATTTACAATTTGTAACATAAGTACAATAAGCAAATGGAGGTTTTTTTTTAACATAATATTTACACGATGATAAAATATGAGAAGGGAGGTTGTCCAGCGACAGAACCCTCATACGTCAATGGTGTCAGGGGCTTAATAAATCCCTGCACCAACGCCTATTTAACCGACGAATGGAATTATTAGGTAGCTACAAAGCACAATTGTACAAGRATAAGTATTTCGGTAAATTGTTTACTTAATTTTTTTTTTCTGATCATCATAAAGAATAATATTACCACTGTAAAGATAAAGATATTATATAATTAATTAATTAATAATAATAAATATTTATTCATTAGTTTTAGACTTAAATATATTTTCAAGAGAAMTTAAAAAGCACTTAATAAACAATACTAAAAAAAAAATTTTGATACATAATTTAAAATTATATGTATATATTATGCCTATATAACATATGCATCTATGACTATTTTTGATAAAGAAAAATTAAATAAAATACAAACAATAGTTGCTTAAAAGGCAGATCTTAAACAATTAATTTACTTAAGTTATCAGTACTTCGTTTTGAAAAACTTTAGAAATATATTGTCATCATATAAATAATTCAAAATTATTAACAATTATAGACGTATCAACTTTAAATAATGTTTTTATCAACAAAATGAATTACAATAATACTTAGATATAAAGACATTTTAAACATTTAGAAAGTTAATTCCTCGGGGTATTCTCCAGTAAGACAAGCTGTGCAATGCCCAACTTCAATTGCATTTCTGTTTGGCATTTTTTCGGTAACTGCTTCTTTGAGTCCTTCGACGGATAAATAAGCAAGGGTGTCAGCGCCTATAGTTTATATTAATATATTATATTATTTATAACAGTTTTAATTAAATATACAGAATGTCTCGCGAAGATTCACCCATTGCGATATCTTATGATATAATGGAGATATCAAAATTATAGTTTTGTAATAAGATTCGCATCAATAATAATTACAATAATTTAATTTTTTTATCTATTTTATTGTTTTGGTACAAAAATAAAAATTTTTTTTTTATTTAATTATTTCTAAAAAAATTAACTGTAGCCATTTTGTAGTTTTTATATTTCAAAATTTTATTTTCATTAATTTCCTGATTTTTAATATTCTTTCTAGTTTTGAAGAAATAAAATGTGATTATAATAACTAGGCACACTGAAAGTGTTCAGCCGGCCATACGAGAATGCACACGACGTGACGTTTCACATGTTTGATATTACTACAGTGTTAAATAATTTACAATTTTTCTCGAAACTAAAAATAAATAAAAATAAAAATCAGGAAATTAATGAAAAAAAATATTGAAACGTCAATATTTTCAGAAAAATAAACTCTAAAAAATGGCTATAGTCAATTTTTTTGGAAATAATTAAATAAAAATATATTTTTTTTAACTATTTTACCAAAACATTAAAATATGAAATTATTGTAGTTCTTATYCCWGTRAKTWTWATTAYAAAAYCAGAATTTTGATACCTCCATTATTTCGGGAGATATTGTAATGGGTAAATCCTCTTGGAACACTGTATATTATTAAAATTAAAATTTACACTATATTATATTTCATAACATTAGATACTAAATTACGGTACGACCAGTAGATAAAACTGTATAGTATTTTACAAACATCATGATCATATAAAAACACTCCAAATTTAAATATGTAGTGYCATTAGTTACAATATTACAAACAATGTTGAAGGGAAGATTCCCATTCCTATTAAGTTTAATTGTWTGAAATTTTCTGAGATCTTGATCGTACATTTTATAAAAAATAATCAAATCATCAAACTTAATAGTAAGAATAGTATGGAGGACACTTCAAAGTCTTTTATTAATATATTAATTTTAAAATTAATCATAACTTTTAAGTTATAATTATAAAAATATTACAATTTTAAAATAGAAATAGAAATGAAAG